ACGCAAACAGATTAAAACGATTCGCTACACCTTATGAACAGTACAAGTTATCTCACAGATGATGAAGTTACCTTAGGAAAAATGTACTTTAAATTAACTAGTGGGGGCTAAAGACAACTGAGCGGTACTAATAAGTAAATGTATATAGATAATGTATAAATAATTAATTAGCTTTTCCTGAAAGACCTGGAAACAAATGAGAACACTTTGTGTATCGTTGTACTGTGCTGATCTCTTAACTGAAGTGGCTTCTGAGACCCGTGACCCAGAAAGGTTAAAGTTTGTGTCTTTCCCAGAGGCTGCACCTACATGATTAACATTACAGAGAAACCCACATCAGAAAGAACTATCACAAGGGAGGAATGAACAATAATTCATGTAGATAATAAATAGTCCAAGGAGAATAAAAGCCCACCCCACCTTGGTTCAATAAGAGCATTTTCAATGTTTTTCCTTTTAAGCACTACAACTGTAACTTCTACTAAATACCAAGCACTGAGAGGGAAGGGATGACTGGGGTTTGTTTCTTGAGGTTTTACAGTCACAACCAGAGTTAAGTGTTCTCTGTCTATTCCTGGAGCTTTCCTGACAAGCCATTTCCAGAACAGAGGTGGAAAGGAAAGCAAAGAAATGGTTTGCTAATTTATCTAAAAATTTGTTCTAGTTAATTTTTAATCTAATAGCACATGCAGATTTTTGTAACATACGGCCAACATGACGCACATTGGGAAGATATGTATTTGGTCATCTATCATTACTACTCCTCACAGTGTAATTATTGTTTCTGGCATTATTAGCGGCAACTGTCTATTATTTCTGATCATCTAACCAACCGACTTTTCAAGAACTCATGTTTAAATCTCATTCCAAAGGCAGTTTTACTGCACTAAGTGGGTGAAATTGCTTAAATATCTACATATTTTACATAAATCTTTATTTATCAATGAACGGTTCAATTTCTCAGTTCTTTAAACATCCAAAGAAAAAAGTGCCACGCTCATGCTGACATCATTTCTACTGCTTAAAGGAAGATAAAATTGGGTCTCTCAAAGCTGCGGGCAAAATACTACAATGGATAACAAATATTCCTTGTGTATACACGATTGGAAGGGCTGTCTCCGTCGGGCGCTGGCTGTACATTGTGGGGGACGGGATGGATTCAGAGGAGGTTTTTTTTTTTTTGTTAGAATTAGTTCATGTGTACATGCAGTATTCAAACAGCTGATTTCGCAATCACTGCTACCTGCTCATATTCATTGCACGGGCAGTTCTATTTAAAAATAAAGCAAAAACACCTTGAGAGTAAATTTTCTGAATCTTACTCCCTTGGATGGCTGCAGGGTAGCCTAAATTTTTACACGTAACCCTCCGTTACGATCACTACTGTTTCCGTTCTGCTCTTAAAAAAAAGAGAAAAGGAGAAAAAGAAAAAAGGTTTTGTACAGGAGCATTAACAGTTCCACTTGCCCTGTGGCAAATGGGGAAAATATGTCAATGTGAATTATTGTACTGTCTCCATGGATCAGGATTTCTCTTAGTGCTTTCAAAATTCCACTAACAGAAACAATTGCTAAGAGCATTTGCTACTTAGCCTGCTATGCTGGAATCAAATAAGACCCTAGGATCAACTAATGCTAAAATATTATCTTTTATATTGATTTTTTCCCCTACATTAAGGGGGAAACATGAAAGAACGAAACAGCTAAATAATTTTAGCTGGAAAGAATGACATATCACTCTCACAAGGACATTCAAAGAGTTTAAATAATCAAGATAATTGCAAACCAGAATTTTGAGCAGCTCAGTCACAAAAATGTAAGAATATCACAGCATAATTTTACTTCACTCTGACCCAAACAAGTTGTACTACATATTCCACTTTCTACACACAGAGTTACAGTGGGGGATGTAATATCTCTTCTCTACAGAAGCCAAGAACACCCACACAGATGCATTAGAAAAAATAATTTTTATTTTGTGCAGTTGTGCATGCACATTCACATTTGAAGGAGTGAGCCAAATACTAATAAAGAGATTCCAAGTCCATTTTCTCTACTGGAAGGCTATTTTATGGGTATTTATTAAATTCCTTTTTTATATCTCTTTCTTAGTACTAGATTACGGCCTCAATTAATTAGTAAAGTACAATTGTAGAAATTCATGGGCCACTGGGCAGATCTTGTAGGAGAATTTATTTCTAAACTCCTTGATCTGGCCAACAAGAATGCAGTAGAGCAAGAATGAGCGACTGACAAAATCCAGACACTGGACTTACACATTATTGATTATTTCTACCAAATAGCAAATTATTTTCACTAGAAAATAATCATCTTGATTCTTATACTACATTCATCACCAGGCTTCATAAACACGTAACCGGTTCATCTAAGGCAACCGTGAAGATGCAAGAAATTAGAGTTCTGCAGGGTGCCTGAGTTAGCACTACTGACATTCTGGCTAAAAAAGTTGGTGCTACAGAAAACTGATAAAAACAAACACACATTAAAAGGATTATGAATCAGTTAGCTTAGGACATATTTGTGAATAAAAAACTCTCTCAACAGAGATGTTTCTAATGGGTATCTGTCATCAGCTTCACCAACGATGTGGACATAGATAGAAAACCTTTGCCAAAATGACTGTGAACATCACAAAAACAATAACAACTGTCTGTAAAAAAACAACAGCAGCAGCGCAGTCACGCAGTCATTCTGGATCACGGACAAATGAAGATCACAGAAACAAAATGTGCTTTAATAAAACCAAGATGGCAAGCTTTGCCACTAGGAAAGACTGTTGTCCCCCTGGCAGAGCAGGGAACTAGAGCCTTAAAAGTGATGGGCAACCGTGTGTGCTCCAAGAACCAAACCTCCACAACAGGAGGCAACATTTTCCTTGCAGAAATAGTTAAATTCAATTATGGAGGAAATTTTTGCCATTGCAGATAGGATTGCTGAGATGTTAACTATTGCTGCCAGCATCCATGGTTTGTCTGTTCAAAGGGTGCAAAAAAGAAAAACTCAATGCTGAAGGAAAATGCCTTGAAGAACACAATGTATTCAGATTGCCAATAAAAAATTGAGAGATAACATGATTACGCTGTGTAAGTACCTTTGTAGGGAGAAATACCAGACACTAAGGGACTGCCTAATCTTAGAGGAAGACTTAATAAGAAAGAGCAGCTTAGAAACTCATTCAAAATCTGTATTTTCTGGCTTTTTTTTTTTTTTAAGTGGATGTTATTGAGGGTTATCGGGGTTACGGTGGTGTCTTCATCTTCTGACTGCTTCAACTGCCTTTCTGAAAGATAAACCTGATCCCTCCTGATCCTACACTCTGGGGACTTACAGCTCCAAAAACCTCAAGACGACCAATTGTTGGTTATTGCTCTGCTCCCTGCAGGAATGAACAGAACAGATGACCTCTCTTTCACTGAGCGTCATCTATTGATACAAATCTCTCCCTGCTCATGACGTCCATTAACAGAAGGCAATTGCTACCAAGAAGTTGTGATGAGCAGGGATGCCTTATCATACAACAGCTGAATTCCAGGAGAGAGCTCATGGTGATCCCACCAAGAGGACTACAGACAGAGTAGACAGATTTCAACCGGACTTCAGTGGGAAGCCCCACACAGCATGTGAAACACTGAACTCAAGGACTTTTAGTACTAAATCAGTAACAAGTTGGTTTTACTGTCATTAAATAACTCAAAGTCTTTGGGGTTCATGCACTTATCTACCCAAGTGCGCCGAGGTGGGGATGTTTGGAGACTGGTGATGAATAAACAGATCACTGTGCCAGGTCTGACATGCTCAAAGCCCGGTCTGCTACGAGCTGAAGTTTCTGTAGCACCTTCATCAAGCTACACAGGGTATGCTGCTGGCAGAGGTGTGTTCAGTAAGAGACGATGAGATGGCGACGTGTACCTCAAGTACCAATGCTCCCGCCGCCTTCCTCGGGTTTAGCTCAGTTAGTGCTTCTTTAAGCACCTTCTCTGTCATGCACTGCAAGACTATTCTTGTATCTGACAAGTAGAACTGGATGTTGCCCATCAATTTTCAGTATTTAAGCTGCTGACATCTTACTTCATGACACGGCATAGTCTTTTCCACTCAGTTTGCGAAGAAGTTGCACAAGATGGAGCCTAGAGGAATTCTGCCGGCAAGTGCTTTTGTAAGGGAACTGAGGCACCTTGTAACTGGGAAAAATAAGAAGGACTAAGGCACTAGCTGAGATTCGGGAGAAATAAAATTAGTTCCAGATTCTGTCACTAGCCTCCCACCATCCTTGTCATCCTAAACCACTTCCAATGTATGTATCCAGGTTCCTCATCTTTGAAGTATGTATAGTTTAATTTGCTTATTAAACGCTCACTTTTGCTGTGAGAACACATTTATAAAAGTTTTAGACAATCCCGCTTCAACTGAAGAGTCACTCTCTGTACGTCCAACGAGACCAAGGACAGGCATACATTCATCCGCGGTGTACATCTTAGTTGTGCCAGCAGTGTGTCATCCCTCTAGTTTCAAAGCAGGTTTGTAAAGCTTATTGTGCTACCATACAATGAAATATCTTAAAACGATCCGTAGGAAGATCTAACCTGCAGTTTGCTCTCCCCCCCCGCTGCACTGTCTCATGAACCGATCGGTCTCCCGGTGTTCAATTAACTGAAGTTCCTACTGCTAGCAACAAAATACAACATAAATTTGCAGGCCTGTAAAATTACATGTTTTACTAAAACTACTGTGTCTTGGAAATATCACCTAGAGCAACCTCCCAGAGAAACCTGTGCCGATTTTAACGTACTTTTTGGTGTCTTCTACTAGTGCCAAACATTTTACTATTGCATGAAGGGCAGAGTCGAGGAGGGAGGAGTGGTCCTTTGTAAAGGAGATAATCCTGGCAGGTCCAGATTAGGAAAAAACCCTTATTTTCATTCTAATACAACAAGCCAGTTAGGAAGCTAAACTGTAAAAACAATGATAGAATTCTGTCAGGCAAACCCTTGAAAGATCACCAAAACAGTAATAAATTAATCATCTGGAGACATGGAGTATGGAAAGGAGAAATTGAGATCAATAAAAACTGTACTCATCTGTTAATGGAACATTTCCACCACCAAAAAAGCTACCGTTGTTAGAAAAAGACCATCTCTCCCAGTCTGGTTTCTACATTTATTTTTTTAAGTATAGGTGTACCTGTGCTGTACAGAAGAATGAAACACAGTGGGGGCAAGCCAGTACTGCTTTCCTACGAGATGGCTATCTCAGCTCCTTGCTTTCAGCAATCTGCGTAACTGTCCTCCAGTCACAGCCGTATTCATTAATAACGCGCGCCAGTGCCTCCGCCCGCCTGCGTGCTCTTCTCATCCTTAACTTTGGCTTCACCCAGCAAAAACGTGCGCGTGTTCAACTTAGCACGCGCTGCAGGTGGTGCCGCGGACGCCCCATCATAGAATCATAGAATGTTTTGGGTTGGAAGGGACCCCTAGAGGTCATCTAGTCCAACCCCCCTGCAGGAGCAGGGACACCGCTAACCAGATCAGGCTGCTCACAGCCCCGTCCAACCTGGCCTTGAATGCTTCCAGGGATGGGGCTTCCCC